GGCGCCGGAGATGTACGAGGAGAAGTACGACGAGGCGGTGGACGTCTACGCCTTCGGCATGTGCATGCTGGAAATGGCCACCTCCGAGTATCCCTACTCCGAGTGCCAGAACGCCGCCCAGATCTACCGCAAGGTCACCTCGGTGAGCCGGGAATGCCGCCTGGGAATGCCGCCCTGCGGGAACCGCCTGGGAATGCCACCTGGGAATGTCGCCACTGGCTGCGGAGGAGGGGCACGGGTGGCAGCGGGTGCTGGGTGCCCCCGGGAGCCGGGGACGATGCCCTGCCGGGCGCCCGGCACCACCAGGGATCGGGCGGGACGGCTGTGTCCTCCTCCGCAGGGGCTGAAGCCCAGCAGCTTCTACAAGGTGAAGGTGCCTGAGCTGAAGGAGATCATCGAGGGCTGCATCCGCATGGACAAGGAGGAGAGGTGGCCATGGCGGCGGCCGGGGCGGAGCGCGGCGCGCGGGCCGGGCGCCCCGCTGAGCCCGCTGCCCTCGCAGGTACACCATCCAGGACCTGCTGGAGCACTCCTTCTTCCAGGAGGACACGGGCGTGCACGTGGAGCTGGCCGAGGAGGACGACGGCGTCAAGTCGGGGCTCAAGCTCTGGCTGCGCATGGACGACACCAAGAAGCTGCACGGCAAGTACAAGGACAACAACGCCATCGAGTTCCTCTTCGAGCTCTACAAGGACGTGGCCGAGGAGGTGGCCCAGGAGATGGTGGGTGCCGCGGGGGCCGTGGGGCCGCGGGGCGGCGCGGGGCCGGCCTCACCCTGCCCGTGGCTCCAGGTCATCCTGGGCTTCGTGTGCGAGGCCGACTACAAGCTGGTGGCCAAGGCGGTGCGGGACCGCGTGGTGGCCATCAAGCGCAAGCGGGAGAAGCTGAAGCGGGCGCAGGAGGCGGCGCCGCCGGGGCCAGCCGTCCTGCAGCTGCTGGAGGAGCTCAAGTCCCCAGGGCCGCCCGGCGCCGCCGCCGCCTCCTCCCCGGCCACCCCCGGCTCCGGCGACTCCGTCTTCGGTGGCGCCTTCCCGCCAGAGCCCGAGGAGCCGGAGGCCGATCAGCACCAGCACTTCGCCTACCGCCACGCCAGCTACTCCTCTGCCACCTGTACGTGGGGCGGGCTGGGGGGGGGCGCCCGCGGTGCCCCCCGCGCTCATGGTGCCCCCCGTGCTCCTCCGCAGCCGACGGCGAGACCGACGGCTACCTGAGCTCCTCGGGCGTCCTGGAGTCGCCGGAGCTGCTGCCGTGGGGGGGTCTGCGCAGCCCCCTGCCCGCCTGCCCCCCCCGCCACTTTCCCACGGTGAGAGGGTGGCGAAGGGACTGGGGGGGTCACAGCAGGGGGGCCATCGCTCACCAACGTCCCTGCAGAGCCTGGCGCTGCGGCTGCCCCTGGAGCCCGGCTCCGGTGTCGGTGCCAGCGACGTCTCCTCGCCCGTGGACAGGTGAGAGCCGCGGGCAGCGGGGTGGCCGTGGCAGCGCGGTGCCCTGTCCCCCCCCAGCACTGACACTGCCCCCAGCTACGCCTCGGACGCGGCCTCGGGCCTCAGCGACGGCTACGAGGGGCTCTCGGCGGGCGAGCGGGGCGCGGAGGCGCCGGGCCGGCGGGCGGCGGGGAAGCTGCTGCGGCGCCGCGCGCGGTCCCGGCTGCGCATCACCGACGTGAGTGACGGGACGGGGACAAGGGACAGCCCCCCGCCCCGAGCACCGCGCCGGCCTCAGCGACCACCCACCCCCAGATCTCAGACCAGAGCGACCGCGTGGTCGAGTGCCAGCTGCAGACCTACAACAGCAAGATGGTGACCTTCAAGTTCGATCTGGATGGGGACAGCCCCGAGGAGATCGCGGCCGTCATGGTGAGTGCGAGGCCACCGCGGGAGCTGGCGGTGCTGCGGGCGCCGAGTGGCCCCTCACAGTCCCTCCCCATCCCCGCAGGTCCGCAACGAGTTCCTGCTGGAGTCGGAGCAGGACGGCTTCATCCTGCGCATGCGGGACATCATCCACCGCGTGGAGACCCTGCTGCGCAAGGAGGGCTGCGGCGGTCTGCTGCCCGCCCGCCCCGCCGGCACCGTGAGCGCCCGGGCAGGGATGGGAATGGGACAAGGACAGAATGGGGACAGAAGAGCGATGGGGACAGAGCAATGGGGACGGATGGGATGGAGACAAGATGGAGATGGGAGGGTGACGAGGACAGGGAGATGGATGGGAATGGGATGGGGATGCCGATGGGGGCAAGACAGAGATGGGATGGGGAGAGGAATGGGCTGGGGAGGGGGACAGGGCCGGGCTGGGACAGCGATGGGGCTGGGCTGGAGGGGCAGCGGGGACGCAGGCGGCGGGGGCGCCTGGCCCAGCCCTCCTCCCTCCCCGCAGGACCTGCAGCTGCAGGAGCTCCCGCGCTCGGTCTCCTCGTCCTCGCTCAGCGGTAGGTCCTGCCGCTGTCCCCCCCGCTCCGTCCCCCGCACCCGTGTCCCGCTCGGGGCCCCGCGGCGGCGGCGCCAGAGCTCACACCCGCCCTGCAGACCTGGGCTGCGCCAGCCCCGGCCTCCCGCCGCCGCCGAGCAGCCCCGCGCCGCAGAACGGCACCGGGCGCCGCGCCGAGCCCAGCTCCCCCGCAGGTACCGGCTCCCCCGTGGGTACCAGGTGCCCCGCGGAGCGGCCGGCCGTGCTGCCCACCTCCCCTGCAGATACTGGCCACTTTGTGGTGATGCCAGCTGCGCTGCCTGGCTCCCCGACAGGTACCGGCTCCCCCACAGGTACCGGCTCCCCTGCGGAGCCACCAGCCACGCTGCCCAGCTCCCCTGCAGGTACCGGCTCCCCGGCGGGTACCGGCTGCCCCGTCCATCCCGCCTGTGTGGGCGATCGGCCCCGCTCACAGCCCTCCCTCCCGCAGGTGCCCCTGGATCGACGGTGCCACCCTGGTCCCCGGCTCTGGCCATGCCGCCTCCTGCCCCTGGCAGCCCGGCGGGGTCGATGGTGCCGCCGGGGAGCCCCCTGCCCGGCCCTGTGTCGCCCTGGACGCTGCCGCCCGCCGCTGTGCGCCCTGACCCGCCGCGGCCCCACAGCCTCCCGCTGGGGTCCCCCTGCATCACCCTCCCCGGCCCCGCTGCGCTGCCCGGGCTGGGAGCCAGCGCCGCTGCCGGGGGGGCCCCTGCGCCGGCTCCAGCCCCCGCGGCCCCCGTGAGTCCCGCGGTGCCACCTGCAAGTCCCGCAGCGCCGGGCGGGCTGGAAGGCGACACGGTGAGTGCGGGAGCCCCAGGGCTGCGGGACACCCCGGGGTGCGGGGAAGCTCTGGGGCACAGGGAAGCTCAGGGCTCTGGGGCACCCTGGGGTGCGGGCAGGGCCGGCCCCGCGGGCCGCGTCCCCCCCAGGCCGCTCTCGCTGATGGCCGCGCTGCCGCCAGGCGCCGCTCTGCCCGCCCAGGCCCGCGCACCCGCTCATCGTGTCGGAGGCGCCGGCGGCCGAGCGCGCCCGGCTCTCGCCCATCCGCGAAGGTGAGCGGGGGCAGCGCCCGCGCGCCGCGTGTCCCGCGGCCCCCGCTCACGGCCCCGCCGCCCCCCGCAGAGGCCAGGACGCAGGTGCTGGGCCGCTTCCAGGTGACGCCGTCCAGGGAGCCCGCGGCGCCGGGCGAGCGGGGCAGCCCCGAGCCCCCCGAGGCGGCCGCCCCCAGCGCCCAGGGCAGCGCTGGCAGCGCCTCGAGCTCGGCGCCCGAGGAGGTGGCGCCGGCGGGCAGCGAGGGCGCCGAGGCCGCGGACGGGCCCTCGCAGGCCGTGCTGGGCCAGGTTTGGCTGAGCTCCTCGCGCAGCCTGTCCTACCTGAGCAGCGACGACAGCGAGAGCGAGGACGAGGAGATGTGGGAGGAGCTGCAGACCCTGCGGCAGAAGTGAGCGGCGCCCCGGGGTGCCCTGCGCCCGTGTCCCCTAACAGGGACCTCTGTCCCGTCGCCTGTGTCCCTGCTGCCACCCGTCCCGCCCGCAGGCACCTGGCCGAGGTGCAGCTGCTGCAGAGCGCGCAGAAGAAGGAGATCGAGGAGCTCTACGTGCGCATGGGCAAGCAGCCGCCGCTGGGCATCGTGTCGCCCGCCGCCGTGCTCTCCGGCCGCCAGCGCCGCCTCTCCAAGGGCGGCTTCAACCCGTCGCGCCGCAACAGCCTCCAGCGCCTGGAGCTGCCGCAGCCGCCAGGTAGCCCGGGGCCGGCTGCGGCCCCGGCGGGGCCCTCGGGCGCCCCGCTCAGCACCCGCGCCCCGTCCCGCAGGCATCATGCGCCGCAACTCGCTGAGCGGCAGCAGCACCGGCTCCCAGGAGCAGCGGCTCAGCAAGGGGGTGACGTTCGCCGACGAGCTGGGCCGCACGGTACGGGGGGTGTGTGTGTGTGGGTCCTAGTGGCACAGCCCCCCCCCGCCGCCCCTCACCCTCCTGTCCCCCCTGCAGTAGCCGCCCAGCCGGCGGCGACGGCGCCAACTACCTCAACCAAGTGCCTGCGGCCGCGGAGCGACGGCCCCTCCTGCGGCGGATGCAGGGCCCAGGATGCAGCCGCCTGCCCCGTGCTGAGCCCACAGGGGTGGGCACCCTGGGACCGGGGTGCGCAGGGCTCCCCTTCCCTGCTACCCCCGTCCAGAGGCTCCGGGTGGCTGCGCCAGGAATCCAGGACGTCGCCTCCTGCATCCCCGTGTCCCCGCCCTGGAGTCAGTGCCTTTTTGTTATGACCTGATGTCTGCAGAGTGTTTTCATAAAGATGAACTGAACCCCCGGCTGGCTCCACGTGTCCTGCAGGGGGGCGGCCCCGTAACGTCCGCCGCGACTCCCCGCTGGGGCCGGAGCGGCGCCGCCGCGGCCCGCGCTGCTGCAGGGACCCAGGCTGCGGCCTGCGAGCTCCGTGTTTATTGTGCGGGGCCCGTCCCGTCCTGTGCAGGGCTGTCCAGGGCCGGCTGCCCGCGCGGGGAGGGCGGCTCTGCCCGGGGGGGCTCCCGGGCTGGGACCCGGTGGGTTGCCCCGGCTCTGGCTCCGGTTCCGGTTCCGCTCCAGGCGCGGGACGGGGCTCAGCTCGCGTCGCGCCGCTCCCGCGCCCAGGCCCGCGCCCGCTCCGCCTCCTGCTCCAGCTCGTCCAGGAACCGCTCCTGCGACACCGAGTAGAAGGTGTAGCCGTCCGCGGGCGCTGAGGAAAACAGCGGCGAGGAAGGGAACCGAACCGAACCGCGCTGAAGTGAACCGAACCGAACCGAACCACGGCGAAGTGAACCGAACCGAGCCGAACCGCGCCGAAGTGAACCGAACCGAGCCGAGCCGAGCCGAACCGCGCCGAAGTGAACCGAACCGAACCGAGCCGAGCCGAACCGAACCGCGCCGCCGCTTCCCCGGCCCCGCTCGGATACAGATGCCCATCACGAGGGCGCCGATGCTGAGGCCCAGCAGCGCGTTGCGGCCGCGGAGGCGGCGCTGCAGGGCGCGCTGGCGCTGGGCGCGCTCCACGCGCTCCATGAGGCGCCGCTGCTCGGCGCTCAGCCCCGGCTCCCGCGCCGGGTCGATGCGCCGCGCCACCTCCGCCTCGCCGCCCGCCATCTTGCTCCCGCCGCCGCTTCCGCTTCCGTGCGGCGCACACGTCACATCCGGCGCCGCGGAGGGGGGTGGGGGGTGGAGGTGTGCGGCTGGCCAATCCGCAGCGCGCACGTGACCCAGGGCGCGAGGGCGCGCACGTGGCCGGGCGCGAGGGTTGGCGCGCGCGTGGCCGGCGCCGCTGATTGGCTCGCGGGGACCCCGTGACCCGGCGCGAGGGGCCGATGGCGGCGGCGGCTCGGGCCTGAAGCGCCGCTGGGGGCTCGGGCCGCGGGCCGGTTCCCGGCCTGAGGCGCCCATGGCGGCGGAGGCGGCTCGGGCCGCGGGCCGGTTCCGCGCGGCGGGCCCCGCTTTCGGCGCCGTGGCCGCCGAGGTGATCGAGGAGACGCTGATCCGCTTGGCCGCCGAGAACGAGCGGCACCTGGGCGCGCTGCCGCGCCGGGCCGGCCGCTTCAAGGAGGCGCCCGTCGTGGGTGAGCCCCGCGCGCCGGGCACGGGCACCCGCGGCGGCGGGCGCTTCACTTCCCATTCTCGCTTGCCCTTCCCGCAGAATTCGTGTTCCTTCTGTCGGAGGAATGGCACCTGGACCAGTCGGCGAGGTACCAAGCGGTAGAAATACTGGAAAGGTAACGGGCGCCCCGAGGAGGAGGAGCCTCGTCCCGGGGTGTATCCCGTCCATGAGCCGGTGTCCTGAAACTGGCGTTTCTTAGGAGAACAGAACTGTGGTTTCGGCAGGTTTATGATTAAACAAGTGGAACAAACGTTGAAGTGCTGCAGGGAGGCCGGAAAGAGCGGCGAACGAGGCCGAGGGAAGGGCTGGAGCTCGCGCAGGGACGCGATCTGCGAGACGTTCGTCCTGCGGCTCGTGTCCTGCATCCAGCTCGCCAGCAAGCTCTCCCTACACTATAAGGTGAAACAGCTGAGCCTTCAGCTACGGGAACGATTTTAGCAGTCACTCATGTAGATCGTGTATTAATGTATAGGTTTTTGACTGCTCTGTAGGTTTCCTCTCGGAAAGTCAGTAGTAATACTGAAATTCAAAGAGTATTTGAATGGGAACATAGGTCTGTTTAGGGCAGATTTATTGCATGCATTGAGTAACTATTTGTCAGTGACTATTCCCAGGCACGGGGCAGGGGGAAGGTGGTGCAGCTAAAAGCTCTCTTGATGGTTTTGGAGAGCAGGAGAGGGCTTAGCCCTGTCCAGGGGGAGTTTTGGGAATACAGGACTGAGCTTCTCGTGGCAGCTTAACAGACCAGTTACTCAGGTGAGTTCTCTGCACATAAAACAGGAAGCTTTGCTATTGCAATTGGTCGTGCTTTAGCTTCCAGTGAAGAAGGTAAGAATGTATTTTATTCTGAACAACTGACTTGTTGGACGTCCTGCTGTAGAAAATAACTTGGCTTTTTCCTTCCCAGATAGTTAACAGCGACACAGCTTTAAAATTTCTGCAGTCCTTAAAATACTCATACACTAAACAGGAATTGCTCGAGTCAGAACTTGCCATTTTAAAAGCTCTGCACTTCCAGATCAATGTGTCAACTCCTTTGACTTATGTTGAGTTGCTTCTAGAGGTCTTAGGTAAGACTAGTAATAGAGAATAGTAAAATAAGTTTTAAAAAGAGCAAGATAGAGCTAGAACTAACCTGAAACAGATGCCTTAATATTAACATTTTTGCACACTGTGAAGACATAGTAGAACAACTGAGTGAAACTTAACTGAGAGGGCCTGTGACGTTCAGAAACAAAGCACAGTTGTCACCTTTCTTACACTAACGAACACTTCTCTCTGGTTTTATGAATCCAGATCTATGGTTGATTCTATATGGTCTTTACACCAGGACATAACGGCTGCTTGCTTCCTGCAAAGCCGCTGCATGAGATGTGTATGCACGTGCTGGACTTCTCCTACCTTACGAGAGATGCCATCTACGATACTCTGCTGAAGATTGCGATTGAAAATTCCACACCAAGCCAACTGCAGGTGTAAGTAGATTACCTGACTATTGATTAAAATAAGCGTTTGAAATTAAAACCATAAAGAAGTCAAGAAATAGCCTCAACCATAAAGAAGTCAAGAAATAGCCTCAACCATAAAGAAGTTAAGAAATAGCCTCATTCTTACACTTTTTTTTTTAATTTAACATTTGTGGGGTTTGTGATTGTTTTGTTTTGCCAGTTTAAAGCAAACACTTCACCTGATTTGCTTTAGAGCAAGCTAGGGAAGTTTTTTTAACTGAATCTCTATACAGGCTATACTTCTAAAGGTCCAGAAGTAGCACTTTTTGAATTGTAGCAGCGTTTTACACCAGAAAACACTTTCACATATGTGCAGAGCCAAGTTCCTGGCAGTCAAGGAAGATTTCATGCTTTTGGCAGTTGGAATCATCAGCACAAGTGCTTTCATATTAAACCCCAAGCACTGGAACCAGGTACAGTCACTTCTAAGCAAATTAGCTCTAGATGGAAAAAAAAATGAAGCTTCTTCTATTATTTTATTGTTTAAGCACAGCAAGGAGCCAAGCTGTACTGGGAGTAACATGAAAGATGTGACATCTTGCAGTTTATTAGCAAGAAGTGTGTGTGCTTTTGTGAGCAGGTTATTAGGACATACAGGGAGCTCGGTGTCAGATTATCCTCCCAGTTCAGCTCCTTCCCAGCTAGAACAAGCTTCCACAGAGGGTTTCTTGGACAGCAGGGGAAGCAATCACAGCCCTGTACCCAAACTGCTGCTGAATACTGTGATAAGCAGCTGTTGTATCCAGGAGCTCTTTACTTCTTTGGTGAAAGCAATTAATGTTAAACAGAGGGGGAAACTATAACTGCTCTTCCCCCAACATACAGAAAGGTTTTAACTTTCAGCATAGATCCACTAGTATATGCCCACAGAGCACTATTATTTTAGTTACATTTGGGGGGGGATTAAGTAATTAGGTAAATTTCTGTCACTTAGGCACTGCAAATAATATATATATATATTTTTTAAGGTTGTGGAGCATTTGAACTGTATCACTGGTATCACTTCACAAAGCATCTTAGAATTTTCTTATGCAGTATTGACCCACATCATTGGCAGCACCACTCCAAAGCAGCACTGCGGGAACAGTGGAACAGGAGCTCAGAGAACAGAATTATACCGCTAAGCTGGAATTATCTCCTGTAGCCATTCCCTAGCGTATCAGTAACAGACTTCTGTATCAGTGGTAGCACTCCCTCTTTCATGACGCTGCACGGGAAACCCAATGTAAGTTGTTTTCACTTTTGCTTTTGGAAAGGAAGCGTTTTGAAACGTTGCAAATGCTGTATTTTAATTGGGAAAGTGCATCCGTGCAGACTGTGCGCTAATGCTTTGGAGGGCAGAGGAACAAAGTGCTACTTAAAAATACCTCTTTTGGCACCAGAAGCTTATTGTAAGAACTCTGTCTTCTAAGTTAGAGATGTGTTTCCTTTGAAGAAACGGAAAACTGTTAATAGGAGTCTTGTTTTGCAAAGGCACGGAGGTGACCAGTAGCGTGCTTGATAATTAGCAATTAGCATTGCTGGAAGAAACACATGTGCCAAGGTACCACCTCCAAGGCCCTGCTTTCTGTCCAAAAACTAGTTACTGCCTCGGGCAGCTCGTTCCTTTGCTCCTGCCCAGTGCTCAACAGCTGCTTTGCTCTTAGCCTGGAACAGCAGCTTGAGGAGCAGTGCAGGGGAAGGGACACACTCTCCCTATCCCGGCAAGTCTGCCGTGCTGGGAACGGCCATGGTGCCAGCTTGGCCCACCCAAAGGATGTTTACGCTGCCACTCAGTGCCCTTGGTGACCACCAGGGTTTTATTAGGAGGTTACTCAGTGCAGCTCCTTGCAGGAGCGGCCTGCAGAGAGCAGGACAAATAGTTAATACGCCATCCCTCGAGGCGTACAGTGTCAAACCTTGGTAAAGTTCAGTGGCACAATGTTAAGTGCTCAGATAAGGTTTCAGAAAATAGTTTATTTTGAATTGTAGTTAACTCTTAGTGACCAAGCAGAGCTTCCATGATTTTTTTTTCCACGTTATTCCCTGTAGTGGTAGCATTTCACTTCTGTAACTTATATCTTCTGCTAAGTCCCTATGTTCAGTAATAGTAAACGCAGTGGTGTTTAAGAATATCTATATACAAATGCTATAGATGTATATACATGTATATTCCCCCCAAATAGCAATTTAATCTATTTAACAGCTGAAACTTTATTCTGTTCAGCCCAGTGATATAGGTTTACACAGTGCTTTTCTATATACTACTTGTAATAATGGTATTTCAAATAAAGTGTCTTGTGGATTTTTGGTGTTGTAAACATATTGTACTGGTTAATAGTAAGAGACAACTTAGCTTGATTTTTCTCCAACAAAATGCAAGTGCTCTACAGCCATCCGGACAAGTTCTTTACACAGTTACTTGTTATAGAATTGGGATGAGACCCAGGCAAGACCCCACTTCAGGTTAGTTAACATGAACTTTAGTGCTTTTGTCCACTGCTCCTCAGAGTTAAATTGTGTTTTGATAGAGTAAGAGCCACCACTGCCACCTGTATCTTCAATTTTTCCTTTCTCCACATCCATCCTGTATCACACACAAAGTTCATTAGCACATTGCTATTTCAAGCAGGCATCTTAAAATGATAAATACTGCACTATTAAATCTGACATTCTTACTAGCCTGTGTGGGAATACTTTCTAACAACAGACTCGCAAGACTAGCAAGATTCAGGCTTCCATTTGAGGAGCTGGCTTTAAATTTCAACTGAATTCAGACCACGCATAACTTCCTCCTGCACCCCTGACACGAGGAGTGACCCAGGGAGCAGCGCTGGAGCTGGGCGCACAGCCCAGCGAGCAGCGTTGAGGGAGGCACCGTTTGACGTGTTTTATAGCAACACTCACCTGTAGGGCAAACAGAAGCGAGTTTCACCCTTCTCTACTTCCTCTTTAAACTGCTGCACACAGTCGAGGAAGGCCACCATTGCGTGATCAAATTTGTTGTCCCAGAAAAACCTCAAGCCTCCAGAACAGTACAAGGGGAGCTCCTAGAAAAAGAGAGTGGTTTCAAACTACCCAAAACACTCTATTTTGGATATTATTGCTGTAGATTTTTAGGCTGTAGATTTTAGATTACTCTGTAGATTTTTAGATTTTAGATTTTTAGTAGTTTCTTCTGGGGTGAGGGCCCTGAGTGCTGGTGGTGATGCAGGATAAGAGCTGGGCTCCTACTCAGGAAAATCTTACTAAATCCTACTATATCCCACATTAAACCGTACATTTTGCCAACCAATAGTATTAACAAGGCCAAGACTTCCAAACTAGACAGCAGGATAGAATAAGATGTAACCAGAAGTCAAAACAGGTAGTTCTTTTCTGCTGAAGACTAATTAAAATGTTCTCTGGAGAGCAGAGTGCTGGTTTTCTGCCTCGTTTAGCAGGCACCTGGGGCATGACTGGGGATCAGGGGCATTCGAGGTCATTTCCTGGCGCTTTTGAACTGCAGGATTGGGATTTCTTACCTTGGACTTGTCCGTGAGGGACTCTAAATACGAGTGGTTACCGTAGGGCACGAGACGGTATCTGCAAGGAGACACGATTTGGAGGGAGATGAGTTTAAACAGTTCTTATCCAGTTCATAAGCAAAAGATGCATTTTACTGCATGTACCTTTGAAACTTGAGGCCCATTTTGTTAGCAAGGGCATGAAGCAGCAGCACAGTCTGCCCCCAGGCTGCATTGATCTCATTCCATTCTACAGGAACACTGGGGAGCCGGCCAAGTCTGAAGTTATTTATTGTGCCAAACTGACCACTGTGCCTGTGATAAGAGGAATTATAAATAAGCTCATTGGAGCAGGAACAGCTTTTAGCATGCTAACCAAACAGGGGTCACCTCCTAACAGTTACTAGTGTGTGTTTCATAACCACACAAAAGGAGGATTTGGGGGCCCCTCATTAAGAAGTGTATAAAACTACAAGACAGTCGTTCTGTTTTTATGGGGTGGGAGTTCGTAGAACAACACCGGGGCTGTCCCGCTCCATAAAGCCTGACGCTGCCTGGCTCCTCCTCAGCTGACACAGTTAGTGCAAGCGCTGCTCAAGGGGCTACGGAGGGAGCCCTGCACGTGCAACACGGAGCACGGCGCGGAAAACGTCACCGTTGGAACCCCGGGGACGCGTGGCCAGTCTTCGCTGCGGGTTAACCAAGATGCAATTAGCACCTTTCCTGTGCTATTCGTTTACACGCTGTTATTTAAAAAGTCCCATATTGTGGATTCTCAGCAAGGCAAAGTAGCATTAGAGGGGCTGCGTTACCAGATGTGGAAGGTTGCATTGAACACGTTGGTTTTCTTCAGCTTGTCCAGCTGCATCTGGGCATAGCGCATTTGGTTGTCTACACTTTTAAGTTCATCATCCAGCTCCAGCTGTTGCCGCTTGAATTCACAGTATTCCTTCTGATACCTGCCAATAAAACCAAAACAAGAAGTGCTTTATGAAGGCTTTTTTCTTAAGAAGAACTGTGATTGCTCATATGGAATATTAGGTTTTCTGGCCAGGTCAACTTCAATATTGCGAAGAAATAGATGCTTCGTGGGTGTTTCCTTGTTATAATCGCTACCAAAACCACATTTGTGGTTCAGACTCACTGAGCTTCCTCTTGTTCCAGTCTCTCTGCCTCTGCCCTGACTCTCTCGAAGTCTTCAGCCACTATCTTGCGGTTCTTCTCAACGTCCTCCAGCTCCTGAATTAGTTGTTCTTCCTCCAGTGCAAGTTCTTTCAGTTCTGTTTGCAGTTTCTCTTTATCATCCTCATTCATCTGTTCCAGTATCTCCAGACATCTCCTAAATGACACAGTTACGTGATTAGCAGAACAGGAGTCCTGGAAACCTCCCTGTGCCAGCAGTCCCAGTGACAGGCGCACACGCACACAGACGTACAAACAAGAGACCTGGGTCCAGGTAGCTCATTTAATCTTGCATCCCGAGGCAGGAATGCAGGTGCAGGACGAGGGAGCAAGAGGGTGATTCAGGATCCGTTACTGCCTGTAACGGTTAAGCCTTTAAATCACACCAAAACTGCTGCCATGCAGGCACCTTGGGCAGGTGGCATCAGCCACTCTGAGGGTTCACGGACTCATGAGATGCTGTTTATCCCAGGATACTCCAAAAGTAAGTTTTCCACCTCATTTAGCCACAAGCGCTAAGGTTACTAGTGCTAAAACCCCTCCTCAGATCAGTGCCCCCGCCCCAGCTTTCACACGGATCCGCTCCGCTCTAGGTCACTCACTTGTAGTTCTGGCACTCGTTCTCCGTGATGTTGAGCTGAGTGTCCAGCTGGTCCAGCAGCGTGTCCGTGCACTCCTCGCACAGCGGGTGATCCACGTCCGTCTGCCCAGACATGATGTCAAAGAGGTCCCCGGTCACCTGCAGACAGACTCCCCGTTAGCCCCGAGGCGGCTGGAGGGGCCGTGGGTTGTCGCTCAGCTGGGGGACCCTCCTCGACTGACAGTGCTGCAGGTACCATCAGCGACCAAAGCGCTGTTAAATCAAGGAGCCCGCGCTCGCTTAGCTGGCCGCAGACACTTGAGCCTGAACCGAACGCAAATACTTGAAGGTTAAAGCCTCGAGAAGCTTTTTCCAGTTGCATCCTGCAGAATGCATAGGAAAAACGATGCTCTAACAGGATGCATCGTTATCCTCCGGCTCCCGGGAAACTTGCCTTCAGCCTCCTGCTGAGGTTTTCCATGGTGCCGCCGTCGGACGCCTCTCCGATCAGGGTGAAACTGTTGGCGCTTTCGGTTGACATCATCCTTCAGAGGGACGCGGAGCCGCGGTGAGCGCCGGCGCCCGGGGGGCCCGCGGTGCCGCCGGGCCGGGACGCCAGGCCGGGTCGGGAGCGGGACAAGGGGAAGGGAGGGTGACGCTTCCCAAGGGGGCCCTGGCAGCTGACGGGCCTGGCCTGAGCACCCGCGTGCGGGAGCATCAGGCGCTTCCTTGCTCTGCTGGGCGTTCGGGAATGGGATTGGAAAGGGGGAAAAAGGGGAAAGGGGGAAAAAGGGGAAAGGGGGAAAAAGGGGAAAGGGGGAAAAAGGGGAAAGGGGGAAAGGCAAGGGAAGGGAGTGGCAGTGCCTGGACAAAGCTCCCGCTCCGCGGCAGACTCCGCAGCTCGGGGCCGCCTTCCCGGGCGCCCGGCGGCCCTACCTGGCGGGCGGGATGAAGCGCCGGGACACGCCGTCCTGCCGCTGCTCGGCGAAGGCCTCCTGCGGAGCGAGAGCCGTGAGCGGCGGCCGCCCCGCCGCCGCGCCCCGCCGCCCCCCGCGCCGCCCCTACCTCGCCGAGGCCGCTCTCCTCCTCGGGCGCCTCCCCGGGCCTGGCGGGGGCCGCGCTCAGCAGCGGCGCTGCGGGGACACGAGCGTCAGCGCGGCCCGCCGCGCCCGCCCCGCCCGCCGCCGCCGCCGCCGTTACCCGTGAGCTCCTGGATGGTGACGCGGTCCAGGATCTTGAAGGAGGTGTCGAGCTTGAGCGGCTGGCTGCAGCGCTGGCACACGAAGCTCACCTGCGCCGTGGCGCCGCCCGCGCGCGCCGCC